TATCGAACTTATTTCAAAAAAGAAAAAAAACTTTTTTCTTTTTCATTATCACCATAATTCTATTTCTTAATCTATCGAATACTTAGTAATAGACTTCATTATATACATAGATGTCAGTTGAGAAAGGTTTGAAAAATTATTTTTATTGGTTTATAGGACAATGCGAATCATATTTATTGATCAATTGTAAAATAAAAAAAAAGGAAAAAACGAACGATATACAGTTCTTATTTCATAATGTCAGACAACGGTAAGTGAAATTTTTTTTGTATTTTTCATTAATCTATTTACAAAAATGATTATTCTAATCCAGCTGAACCTGTTATTACAAATGATGATCAAACAGAAAAAGAACCATCACCATCACCATCATCATCGTCATTTAATAATCTAAATGTATCATCACCAATTCGTTTATTTGGACAATTTAAACAGAATGGTACAAGTTTTAATAATTTTGGTCAATTATCTTCAAATGGTGAAAATTCACCAACAACAACAACAACAACCAGTTATTTTACAAGTACAGTTTCAAAATTCTTATCAACTAATAGTGGAGGTTTTGGTTCATCATCAACATCATTAGCTGCATCACTTGCTCCATTGAGTCCTAAGTATAAAATAAATCAAAAGATTCTATTCGATAAAATGATTATCCTTCATTTGAAAAGTTATCATATACCGCTTTGTGGAGCAACTTGTACTGCATCGAATCGTATATTTTTCATCTCAAAATGGCAAAAAATAAAAAAAAACTTCACTTTCACGGTTGCAGAAATCGACTATTACAAAGATTAGTATTTATTTTGAGTATCTGCATATAATTAAAGTAATTCTCGGGATTCGAAAGACTTTGCAAAACTCAAATACTTTTCTGTCGTTGGAAATTGACTGATTTGACTACGATGCATTTTAATTCAGAGGATAACCAATTGGTATAGTTATTGAGCTTAATAGCATATGATTTTGTGAAATAGTTGTATGATGAGTCACCTTTGACCTTAGGAGCAGTATCAAAGAGTTGAAAACATCATAAAAAATAAAAATTACAGAAGCCTAAGATTTTTGAGTACAAAGAAAGCTATTGAAGTAACTTTACGTAGGTCTGACCAAAAGTTCTAAGAACATTAAATAGTAATGAAAAAATAATGAGATATTTTCAATTTTATTTTATCAAATGCTGAGCATAGTTGCCATGATTATTTATGTCAGGGTCAATCCTTTCTAACAACTTATTAAAAGTTTTTTTGACCTCTTTTTCTTAAAAAATTTTTAGCTACCTTGGATACCACATGAGCTAATTATATTTCGTTTGTTTTAAAAATTTAATGGAATTTTGTTCGATCATATCAGTTGCATTACTAGTGATATGATATCGATTTATTTTAGATAGGTTAGTCATAAGTCATCTAATGCTAACTGGCTTATTGAAGATGAATTATCAAAGATTGTTGTTCATGAAAACAGATTTTAACCAAAACTTTATTTAGTATATTCTTTAAATCAAATAAACATGAGCGTAGATAAAGTTAAGACTGTAGATCACAATTATTATATTGAAAATTGCCCGAAACCTTTTGTTAATGAAATATGGAAAAAAAAATGAACATTAGATTCAATATGTATAAAATTGCTTGATGATCATCGCTCACTTCATAATCATCCAATGTCATACCCAACATATTCGCCAGGCCTGATACTATATAATTCTTGGCTAACTAATTCTATCGAATGTAGTTTAAGTGATTAAATAAATGAAACGTGATTAACTCATATGGTATCCAAGGTAGCTAAAATTTTTTTAGAAAAAGAGGTCAAAAAAACTTTTAATAAATTATTAGAAAGGATTGACCCTGACATAAATAAGCTCAGCATTTGATAAAATAAAATTGAAAATATTTCATTATTTTTCCATTACTATTTAATGTTCTTAGAACTTTTGGTCAGACCTACGTAAACAAAATTTGATATAGATTATTTTAGAGACATACTAAGTCCTAATATTTGCTTATATTACTCAAAACTCCCATGATATTCAAAACACGATTTGAATGTCTTTTCAAAATAAAGGATAGTCATCTTATTCGATAGGATCTTTCTACTTTTTTTTTTCTTAAAGTAATTATTTATTTATTTATTTTTTCCAGTAAACCATTATTTGGTGGATCAAGTGATACACCATCAAGTTCATCTAAGAATGATAAAACAAATAAAGATGATGATGAAGAAGAGGATGATGATGAAGAAGAAGATGATGATGATAATAATGATGATAATAATAAGACAATACCTTCATTATTTGAAACAGCAGCTGAATATGAAGCTAAACGAGCATCAACTCATCCAATAGCTAATATTCAAGGTGACACATCGACCGGTGAAGAACATGAAGTAACAAAATTTCAGGTTTGAAAATTTTATTTCGATATTAGAAAAACAACAAAAAAAAATTTTTTTTTTTTAATGATATAGATGGCAGGTAAATTATTTATGTATCATCCTGAACAACAACAATATGTTGAACGTGGTTATGGCATTTTGAAAATAAATGAAAGTCATGATCCATCTGATTGGGATATATTACATGCACGATTGAGTAAGATAAGATTTGTATCTAGAATTTATATTCATTGAAAGTTAAATTCATAGTTCTAGACTATAAGTTTAATAAAGCTCAGATTAATGATTCCGGCGATTGAATTTTACTTGTAAATTGTTCACGGTTTTTTTTTTTGTTTATTCAGTATACACTTAAATCAGTTAAATAGCCAATAGAAAATAAACGATTAAGATAATCACTTATTGATTTCTACTTTACTATCAATTTATTGTTGAATTAGCAAAAAAAGAAAATAAAGATGTTATATCAAGTTTATATCATGTCTTTCAGCTACCTTGAGATCTGATGCAAAGTTCTTGAGCTTCTTATACACACTAACTAACTACAAGAGCAAGTGTATGTCACAACATGCTATCGGATTAGTGATACCGCAGTGCTTAGTAGATACCTGCAGAACAACGTATCCACTCATGAGAAAATTTTTAGAGCAAATGTTTAAGTCCCGGACGCTTCCGAAGAGGAGATCCTTCTCAGCTGTAATATGTCTAATAGGGATAAAAAAAATCTTTTTTTTTTACAGATACTAGACACTAGAGTCCTTCTGGACTCTACTGAACACTCTTTGAGTTGCCTGCATTTTATCTCTTTCCATTCAAATAAAAATACATATGTCTTTTTAACTGAAGTTTTTGTGAACCTTGGCTAAAACCATTGGTACTTCATATCTTCAAAAAAAAATTCATCATTCTAAATATTTTCTATTATAAATAGTAGAGAGTTTCAGGTGAATGGGATATAAAGTGATGGAAAAAAGTTGAGAAACAACGATTTTTTTCATAATGTTAGGCACGTAGCTCCAATCCAAATAGTAATTTTAATAGCCAATGAAGTTTTCTATCCAATACACTTTATAACAAGATTTCACAGATGAACAATGATGACAAGATTCCTAAAAACCCGAACACGGTACTTTTCAGGTTCTAGAAGACTTTGTCACAGCTATTTTTGAACGGTGCCATCTTAAACAGCACAAAATGAGAGGTCGCCGGGTTTTCTACGAACTTCTCGTAAAAAGTTACAAGCATCACAAAAATCATGAAAAAGGCGTTCTTAGTCGATTTTTAAAAAAATTTCGTTTTTTCATAATTTTTGTGATGCTTATAACTTTTTATGAGAAGTTCGTAGAAAACTCGGCGACCTCTCATTTTGTACTGTTTAAGATGGCACCGTTCAAAAATAGCTTTGACAAAGTCTTCTAGAACCTGAAAAGTACCGTGTTCGGGTTTTTAAGAGACTTGTCATCATTGTTTATCTGTGAAATCTTGTTATAAAAAGTGTATAAGTAGCAGAAAAAAAAAATGAAAAAACTTATTTTTTTTTTCTGTTTTAGTCATGAGACTTGATAAAGCATTTCGTGTTATTCTTAATTCTCCAATATTTCCACACATGACTGTTGAACGAGCAACAGATCGATCAGTACGCTTTGGTGCTCAAGACGAATCCCATTTACGTATATTTATTATTAAAGTAAGTATTTTTCTTATTAATAAATTTATATCTTTTGTTTTGTTTTTTTTTATTCTAGGCTTCAGCAATTGATTGTGGTAATTTATGTAAAGAATTGAAATCACGTATACAAATAATTGAACGACAACAATCTTCATCATCAAATGTCGATTCTGCTGTATGTTTTCGTTTTTTGTACTTATAAAAATAATTTTTTTTTATTTTTCATAGGTTACAAATAATACCGATGCATCAAATTCTTCTTCTATTCAAAATTCAACAAATCGTATTCGTAAACGATCTCATTCAAAAAGTGATTCGGATACAGAAGAAAATACAAATGATCTATCAAAAAAATCTAAGTATGAATTAAATAAAATATTCTCTTGTTATTATTATTTTTCTTTTTTTTTGTCTAGATTAATTGAAATATATCGAGATGGAAATAAAGATACAAGTGATGAAGATTCTGTAGAAAGTACAAAAACAGGCGAACAAGAAACTAATATATAAAATAAAAATTATATATATATATATATACGCACACCAATGTTCTATCATTTCCTTTTGTTTCTTTTTAAATAAAGAACTTATAAAGTAATGCATCTATACATAGAAAAAAAAAATCATTAATTGAAATAAATATGGATTGATTAGTAAATCAAATCTCATTTGATAATAATAGATTTTAATTTGAATAACCAATGAAATTTTCAATACCAAGACTTCATAGATGAACAGTGATAGTAGGGTTTCTAAAAATCCGGACACTTCTAGAAGTTATTTTTTTAACGATGCGATTTTAAAGAGCACAAAGTGAGGACTGGTCTCATTTTCTATGACTTTCTCTGAAAAATTTAAAATAATCACAAAAACTGATTAGTCAATTTTTAGAAAGTTTACCTAGTATAAGTAGAAAATTCCATTGACTATTAAAATCTCAATCTATATTTAAATTAGACACATAACATAATGGAAAAAAAATACGTTGTTATGAAATTTTTTTTTCTCCACTGTGCAACACAGGTAATTGATATATTAACATGTCATTTTATTCACCTACTGAGTTAATTGAATTTTTCTCAATTTTTTTGTTCTTCATATGAAGTCACATATTGTCATATACTTGGACAATTTATTCTTGATGTAAAAATTAATTTTGCACTATAGAAAAAAAAAAAAAATTTCATTTATAATTGGGTTTTTTTTCTACAATACTGAGCATTTAACTCGAATTGAAATAATATGGTTTGAATAGCTAATGAATTTGTCTATCAAATATATTCGCTAGATGAATTATGAAATGAAAGTTATTGAAAAACAAAATTAGTAGATTTCAACTATCAAAAGTTATATATTAAAAGGATGGATTGTTGCATTTTCTATGATCTTCATTTAACATTACAACGCAAAATTTAACATATCGTTACTAAAAATTACATTTGTGATATTTATCACTTATTAAGAGAGGAAGGTTATAGGAAAAGCAGTACCTTCTCATTTTATGCTCTTTAAGATGATGATACTCTTGAAAATTAATTTCAACTTCTGTTTCGATCTGAATTAAATACTTAATATCGTAGAAAAAAAAAAACCACACGAGTCTTATATTTTTGATCAGTACTATTAAAACAATTTGTAACAAGTAACTATCATACATGTTGTAAAAAAAAAAACAACTAAGAATAAAATCAATAGTTCGTGTTATTTCATAGCTAATAATAAAAACGATGCTGTAGAAATGCATAATACGACGTTCTTTTTTTGACGATATCTATTATTGTTGATTTAATGAATCAGTGTTACAATGATTTTTCTTTTTTTTTTTTTTCGTTCTGTCAATCGACAGTTGGACGCACGTGTGCGCAGGCGTTTTCACAATGTGTTGTCAATATCGTCTTGCCACCGTATTGATATTTATGCAATGAGTATCAGAGTGTATATATATAAATATACACCGGAGAATTCGTTATTATGTATGCATTGACAGCTGTTCTTTGCATAGAGCGCGTGCCATTACATCGATTTTTGCAAGAGTATGTCTGTGTCTCTCTCTCTCGTCCTTTTTTTTTTTTTATGAAGTAGTAATTAGAAAGTATAGAGAAGAGTACAATCGGCCGGAAGAGATGACGATTCTTCGTTTTTTCTTTTTCTTCCCTTCTTTTTTTCTTGCTTCGGCCACATCTATTGTTCTGTTTTTCTCTTCTCTCTATCCTTTTCGTTTGGGTGAGTTTCGTTAGTTTGTTTAATAAAAGGACAGAGGAAGGGAAAGAGATGTATTAGTCGCCCATTTTTTTTTTCATTTCTTTTCATTCTTTATATGATTCAAACATACGAACAATAAATTTTACTTTCGAAAGAGTAACATGTTGGTCACCTCTTCTCAATCGTCGACACAGCGACCATTGGGTTTATCTGTTGAAGAATTATTTGCATTAGATCGTCAATATCGTCGAATCGAACAACAACAACAACAACAACAACGACAACAACATATTGCACAATTACAAGCACAACAAACACGTTTAACATCCTCAAATCTTAATCGTATAGCTAGTCGATCACTCGATCTTGCTTCATCAAATCCACTTACAATTCTTCCTTCACTTGAAATACATGGTCATGGATATACAAATCGACCACAACCATCACCACCATCAATTTCAAATTATTCACGATCACATTCAATAGATCATATGAAATATATACAACCACCACCACCACCTCCTATTTTAAAACATACATATCCACAAAGATCTACAATAAATGATATTGGACTTCAACATTATCAATCAAAGTTTCGAACTTATTTACCAGTAAGTAATTAATATCTATATTGTAAAAGATAAGAACAGCAATAAAAATTCAATATATTAATGTTTTTTGTATTTTAGCAACCTATCATGTCTACTGGTAATATATCATCATCAGGACATCATTTTGTATATGATCCACCTCCGCCACCATCAATTAATCATATAGATAATCGAAATTCTTGTAAACTTCGTCGACAACAACCTATTAAACGTGAATCATCACGTCGAATTGTTGTTCGACCTGTTGTACAACGACGACGTGAACCATCAGTAAGTTCATCATGTGAATCATTAGATGAACGACGTTCATTTAATCATTATCTTCCAATTCAATCAAATCTTACTAATCAATCTATATCATTTACACCATCAACATCATTAATAGAAGGTGTTATTAATGATTTAAATGAAGAAACAAATAATTTATCACGTAATCTATCTTATAAGAATTCATTATCTGATGATGATGATGATGATGATGGTGATGATGATGAAATTAATTTATATGAAATGCGTATACCAATTGGTAAAACTTATGATACATCAGATATAAGTGTACAATTAGAAGGACTAAAAATTTTAATACATTGTCATACAATTGAACCAACAGATAAACGTGGAAATTATCGTAAACATGAATTAAAAACTGAATTATTTGTACCTGATGTTGTTGATGAGGAAACTATAGCTGCTTATTTAACTGAAGATGGACAATTAATTGTTGAAGGAAAATATCATTTATGGGCATGGAAAGAAATTAAAAAAAAAAGACATATTGAACAAGATGAATTAAAAATTAATTCAAAATTAATATCGTCAAAAGATAATGGAGGAGGTAGGCTGATGGATGAACTTAAATTTTAAAAAATAAACAAATAAATAAATTATATAATAATTTGAAATAAAAAAAAACAAAACAATCATATTTTAAGTGAATTTATATTTAATAGAAAAATAAATACTTATTTTTCATATTACTTTTTCAGAAAATCTCATGAATAGAATCCTTCGGGTTCTACTCATGAGAGAACTATTCTATCTCGATGTTTTAATGGAAGCCATAGATCGACTTAGACTACTCTTTATCATAATTTAAACAGATCGAAATAAACAATGTTCATTAACTTATTGGTTAGAAGGACTAGTTCAATTGTTAGTATTGCTGAAGTATTCGAAATATTAAATCATACTCACAAGGAAACCTCTTCAAATTTTTTTTTGGTCTATAGATACTAAATAGTATTCTAATAAAGAGGTTGAAATTTCGATTCAGTCTTAAATTGACTATATTAACCACTATAAAAAGTTTTATTTCGTTAAATAGTTGCTACAGTGCGTAGAATTGACCAATATGTATTTTCATTAAAAAGTACTGCTCAGCAAAATGGGTATAGGTATGAATCTTTTGGATGTAGGTACATCTTGTGTGATTGCAAATGTAAATGTAGAGGAAAGTCACATCCATACCGAAATTCTTCTAATCTTTCTGATGAAAATCTTAAAAGAATTTGACTTTCTATTGCTTATTTAGAACCTGAGGTTCTCGAAAAAAATTGTGTTTTTGCATTCTGTTATCAAATAACCTCTATATGAAGGTCTTACATATTGTAGTTTGCATAAGGAGTTATTAGAGTTGATAGGAAGATAAGAAATCTATATCAACTCTAAGCACTTCATATGCAAACTACGATATGTTATGAAGATCGTTTGAAGATAAAATTCAACAATATGATTTTTCTGAAAAACCTCAGATTCTACAGAGGCACATCACAAATAGACAATAATTTCATCAAGTCTCAATAGGAACTCAAATTCTATTAGAGTTTTTACCAGAATATTATGTAGTATCTATAGACAAAAAATCATTTAAATCGGAAGGAGATATTCCTTCGCCCGTATCTAAGTAAAAATTTAATTTTTCTATTAAAAGAATATTTCATTTAAAATTGTTCCATCAACTATTTTAATAAAAAAGAAAATTATCAATACTGAAGAGATTATACATGAATATTACTTTAGAGTGGCGAATAAATTTTTTTATAAGAACTAATTGTTATTTAATAGTTTATTCGAATGTCATATAGATCTACTATTAATCGAGATTTAATTTATTCTGAATTTCTAAAAGATTTACAATCAGAGACAACGAATCTCTGGTTATGTCAATATAATACTATGTTTCTATTGAGAATTCTATTAAATTTTGTAATAAATTCGTTATTGACCTTATTGAAATGCTAAATGAACAAGCAAGTAGTTTTTTGTTGAACTAACGCTTTCAACGTTTGTTCTAATCTTTCTTGTGTGTATATCTCACTTTTGGGTGTTCTTTCAGCACTACTAAGTTATCTCAAATCAATTGTTGATTGGGTCAGTATGAATTTTCTTATCCCAACATCTCTCTTTTTTTTTTTGTACCAGCACGGCGTGTGTGTTTGTGTGTTTATTTATCTATTTCAGTACGATTTCAGCTTGATTTTTTTTTTCGTAATTCAATTGTAATCATTCGAGTTGTTTTTATTAAAAAATAGGTTTGGAACAAAACAACATATCATCATACACATTGAATAATAACAGAATAATAAATAATAAAATTGCAAAATTAGATAATAATCGAACTGTAATTCATGTTGGTGAATCATTATCATCAGAAAAAACTAATCATACAAAAAATGTAAGTGATATAATCAATCGTTTTAATGCATTAAATAAAAATGATTCAACAAATATATGGGATGGACAATATTCATTTAGTAATGATTGTTCACCAATACTTATTTATCATCTACGTTTACCATTTGAAACAATAAAAGATGCAATACGTATTCAATCTGATTCACAATTAAATATATTAAAAATTTTTATTGAACAACAAGAAAAAAATTCATTAGAAGAAGAAGAACAAAATAAAATCATTGTACGTTCAACATCACGTCTATGTCATTTACCTCAAGATCATACATATGATTATAATCATTTACGTGTTAATTTTCTTAATGATAATTTTATTCGTATTGAAATACCAACATTAAATTAAAATTATCAACTATTATTTCAAATAATACCGGTGATAATTTATTCATTGCCGCCTTTTTCTTTTTTCGTTCTCTTAAGTTTTAAATATACTCATATTTATGTTTGTTGTCTAATTTTGTTTGTTTTTTTTTTGTTTGAATATTTATAGTAATCATTGTAGGTAAAGTGTGATAAGTTATTATTAGTATTTGATTTAAAATTATTATTATTATTATTATTATTCAAATAAGAAAAAGCTAGAAAATATAAATAAATACAATGATTTTCTAAGAATATCTTAAATGATTATTGCTTCATTATTAGTGAATAAATAAATCTTAATCATGCTTCTTTGGATGTAGGGTGTGAGTTTGCATGATGCATATAACAAATCGGTGCCGGTCGATCGATCTACCGGTACAGCTATAATAGGATAATTCTTGTAATGAAATTTTTTTTTAATAGTGCACTGATCCAAGTTACCAATTTAGATTATGAATTTGAAATATCTCAAAATTAACTATCAAAATTTACTTGTTTTATAGAAAAACTCATTAAATTATCAACGTTAGATCAAACGAAAATTTAAAACAATTTTATTTTATTTAAACTTAAGTTTCTTTGTATTCGAAAATGAGAAATATCCATACTCCTGTCGTCCAGCTACCTAATGGTAGATTCATTAGCTGGATACGCCGAGTTCTTGCATTCAATCACTTAAGGTTCCCGTAGACACTGACTAAGTCATGAAGACAGATGTCTGTAACAACTTATTCAGTATATTATCAGACGTGTGATCTTAGATAAACAAACGTTAGCAATTTGTTCAAAGTCATATCATGATTGGCGATACAGACGTTTGAATATAGTATCTATCAGATGTATGCCGAACAACATAGCCGTGATGGTTCCATCTCTAAAAATCTGAGGTGTATAACAGTCTTACATAAAAAGATAGATAAAGACGTTTTAGTGCCTTAACAATGGAATATTCAGGAACGAGAATTTTAACACTTCTATTATCTATAAATATAAAGTCATGAAAAATTGAACAATTAATAAATTAATTTTCACTGTCTTTTCTAAGTATCTAATTGAATTGACAGATTTTTTTATATTCAACAAAATAACTCGACATATCAAAACAATTATAAATATTAGAGATCAATAGTTTATAATACACGTAATATTATATAAACTAATATCAACAACATAGTAAATGTATAGATAGAAAAAAAGTTCAACAAATGAAATTGTAACAATCAGAATGAAAGAAATCTTTGAATACTAATTTTAGCTGTAAGAGAAAAACTTATATATATGATGATGAGGTTCTTTAATGAAAGTGAAAGAAGAAATAAATTAATATAAGGACGAGTGATGCAGCTATTATGTTAAATTAAAAAGATATAGTAACTTCTGTGATTGTAGTATTTTTCTCTTTCACTAAGCTCTGTTGTTTAAAACTATAAATATCTTGAAGATGTATATGGAATAGAGAGATGCAGGACTAGGTTGTTTTTTTAGTTCCGATTTCAATTCGTTCTATTTTCAATCGTGTCAGTCATAGTTTCTATGAATTTGATTGTATTCCTAGAGAAAACTATTCCAGAATTTATTTGTATAATATCTGAAACAAATATTCTGAAATTCTCGCTTTTTTGATTAGTTTAGCAAATCCATAGGACATTGTTTTTTCTTCTCATCTCTCCTGAATTATGTTTTGATTAGTATGATTTATAAGATAAATTACTCAAAATCATATAACATTGAACTATAATCTTTAGTTCTAGTTCGGAGAAGATTTTTCTCGTAGTTCCGATCCAGAATAATCTTCAAATTTTGGTTTCGCACATCTTTCTTATGAAAAGATGTTTTTTGTATGGAAGAATATATTTCTGATATTAGTATAAATATCAAGATGCCCGATGGAATTATAGATAACTAAGTCAGGATATAAAATTTATTGATAAATTATGAATAAGAATATTTGATTGTATTTCAATTTTTTTTTTCTTCTTATGTATTTAAATCTTATTAACATCTGCACTACTAAAAACAAAACAACTTCTAAACTTATGAGGGAAGTCTTCCAAATTGATAAATCACTTTTGAATTAAGACTATGTGCGCCATGTAGACTGCGATGAACTATGAATACCCTGGAAAGAGTTCGTGACCTTACCTTATTGCTATGGAGATACTGCATTGTTACGACGTTTTTTTTACATAAATGTTGTTGTCATAAAAAAATTGATTTTTAAATTTCTATTTGAAATTTTGCATAGAGACAGACCTTAATGAGAGATATTTTCTTGTGAAAATCTCAAGTCTTTTGATTTGCTTCAATCTCGAAATAAGAACTTCAAATCTGATGACTTATATAAACGATGTAAACGATATACTAATATCATAGTTATATTTTAAGATAAGAACAACGACATCTCTCATTAGATCTTATCAAAATTTAATTACATTTAACAAAACATTATAGCAATTTGTAAATACTCTAGATTGAACTTATTTAAATAACGATACCATAGTTTAACTTTATTATATTGAAAAACAAAAAACAAACCATTTAGAAATCTCGATTTTAGATTTCATTGAAATATGACCTATTACAATTGTAAAAACTTTTTGAACAACTGAAATGCATTTAAGCATATGTCATATATATATATTTTAGTTTTTTCTATCATACAAAAAACAAAAATTTCACTGTTTCTAATTATTCATCTTCATCATTAGTTTTATCTCTAAACCACCATGGTCTTGGTTCTTCAGCTAATCTTTTTGTATCATGAGGTATAGTAAATTCTGGTGTACCAAGTAGATGTGATGTATAAAATCGATTAATTTGTTTTTCTTGAGTTAATTTTGTTTTATCAACAATAGTTATACGATTAAGATGAGGCATATAATGATGTCTTAAATGATCTAACCAACAATTAATTAATGATGTAAATGGTTTACCTATAATACATAATGATAAAATAATTCCATCATCAAGTTCATGTACAGATGGAGGTATATATAAAGTAGCACCAGGTTGAAAAGGTGATCGTAGATTAGAAACTATTAAATACAGAAGAAAAAAAAAAGATAATAAAAATGATCAAATTTTGTTCTTTCTTTTACCATCATCTGTATTAAATTTTTCTAAATCTTTTTTTTTCTCCCAATATTCTAATGATGGATCAGCTTTTAAAATAAAATATTGTAATTGTTTTTTTCTTAAATAAACTCCATATGGACCTTCAATATAAATTGGTCTATCAATAGATAAATTTAATGTTAATTTAATTTGTTTTGGTGTATATGTATAAATTAACCATGAATGTTCTTCAGATGGATGTTCAATATTAGATAAATTATCAGTTGCTGAATGTATATCAATAAATTTTGTTTCCATATCAACAGTTGATGTCATACGTTGAAGTGCTAATTTAGCTAATATACGTTCATCATTAGGTAATTCCCATGGTATTGGATAAGGATTTTTATTTATAAATTTTGGTATCCAATAAAGAAAACGTGCAAAACGTCGAACAGGATGTGCCCATGGACCAAATATTTCTCTTAACATATGTACAACTTCAAGATCAGGTGGAATACCTTGAGATTCCATAGCTGATATAATAGCTGAAGCTGTTTCATTTTGTTTTGGCCAAAATCTAACAGATACTTGTAACATTGATTGATGACGATAAGGACCAACAGGAAAAACAGATAAAAGTTTTTTATATGATTCAGCATCACGTTCAACACCAAAATCTTTCATACGTCGAAGTGCAGCTCGAATAAATTCAACATGACCACGACGATTTGGAAATTGTATTTTATATGCTTCAATAACATCCTAAATAGATATATAAGAAAAAAAAATTGTTTTTATTTTTTTAATTGTGAAAAAACTACATACAAGAAAAGCTTGTTTATTTTTTTTCTTAATATGATCAGAATCAAATTGTCCTGTATGAAATGCTATTTGTTTTGATGATATATATGGTCCAATCATAGAAGCAATACTTGGTTCATCTTCATGTATTTCATTTTCATTTTCATTTTTATCTTGTTCCCAATCTTCATCTGAATGTGGAGCTGTTGATGAAGCATATATTCGAGTTCGAAATAAAGGTATTCGACGAAGATATAATGAAAATAATGGTTGTATTCGAAATAACATTTTTTTTACATTTTAAAGAACTTCTATGTTATTATAAACGTTTTTTGTTTTCTCTCGATTGGTTTGTCTATTCATCAAGCTTTGTATTTATGATATTATTTTATCAATAGAGATCGCCAGTCAACAGAGGAAGAAAAAAAAAGCAATTTATCGTAGCTAATCATATAGAGATTATTTTATTCTATCGATTTTGGGACACCTTTCTTCATGATCTCTTTATTTAATAAGAAGAGATCAGAAGGGTCAAAATTTTTAGGTCTGAAACCCGAATTTTTTTTCCGGTTTCCACCTCGAAAAGTCTCAATTTTTTCCTAATTGATAACTGATGAGTGGAATTATGTTCACGGAGAAATGTAGACAAGTTTTGATTACTAGCCAGTCTAAGGGAATAAACTGACAAAAAAAAAAAAATAACAAGGTATTCTCTTCTTTTCGTTTGTGTATAAAACAAAAGAACGATTTTAAAGTTGTTAACAAGAAAAGAATTTGACGATGGTTATAAAGACATGAGATGATTCTATTAAATATGTGGATGTATAGATGGGTTTAAGTGTCGGTGGATTTTCTGTACACTCATCCACATCACCTTTTTTTCTTTTGTTAGTAAAGCTTCGAATTCTGACGATTAGATATTTTTGTTTTTCTTTGTTCATCTTTTCTACTCTTTAATTAACTGTGAAAATAAATAAGTTTGTGTTATGGAAAAATGATAGCCATTTTTCAGGAAGTATCCTAAATTCTTGGTTCCCAACCCAGACCCCAGAAACTTTTTTAGCCTCGACTTCGCCGAGATCGAAGTCGGGAACTGGAGTAAGGATGTTCCTGCTGAGCTCTACTGCAGAGTCGAACATGTTCACTCTTGCAGTTCCAAATTAGAAAAAACTCCGAACGATGAGAATTTCGTTCAATTCTATGCAGAGTTCTGAAGCAGACTATATCTTCTTACTCATTCTTTCGTAATAATTCGAGAACACAAGACAGTATTAGTGATCATGGGAACAGGAGCGTACAGGCTGGTGAAACTAGAGCTTCACTAGAATAATCTAAATTACACTGCTCTAAGTAATCGAGTTACCAGAAAAGATTTGTAGGAGGTTCAATTTCCTTTTTAAGCGGAACTCAACTATTGTTAGAAAGAGGAAGATGATTCCCCTCTCGTCCTTGCTTGATTAAGCTACTATCTATAAGAATTGATCACATCAAACCTGGTGTTGTTTGGTTAGGCGAATCTTATTTTAGTGTGGATAATACAACTTTGTTCATATTTATCTATATATTGTGACGAAGTACTATCTTATATTTTAATCATATAGAATAATATGTTTAGTAGACCAATTGTAGAATCCTGTTTTCCAAAGGTAAAACTATCAACATTCGAGCAATTGTTTTCTCTTTCGTTATATTATCACTTGCTTCATTTTATTGAAGTAACTGCATAACTCGAATAATGAAAATTCCAAGACAAAAGTAATAACTAAATATAGTCTTAAAAAATTTTATTTATATACTTATCGGAATTTCTAGCTTTCGTATTTTAGAAATCCATTCGATATAATGCATCGACTAAGATGACAAAAGATAATGATAACATCCTTCATGTTAATACATAGTGCTCAGATCAAAAGTACTTTCTTTCGAGCATTCTATCAATGACAATATTATATGTTATGACCAACAAAATTTCATCAAAACGATCCATTGAAACAATTCTTGAATTCGTTGCAAAAAGTCAAACAATCTCATATTCACTCACACAACTAAATAGTCCGAAATGATTTAGTACTTGAAATTCGTTTCAATCTATATTAAGTAGGGATACATGAATTTCAATTTTTGACTTGAAATTACTCAGGTTGATCATTCTGATCGTCCGAAGTGACAGTTTAAAACTGCCTAAAATGATGTGATTATTGCCTTAAACCATGAAAAATGATTCCTATTTTTAGAACGTTTTTCGTCAACTTAGACTACGTGTCGTTTTTCATTGGAATGTAAACGGTTCTTTTTAGGATCATTTCAGTCAAAAATCGATGTACAGCATCAGAACCATATTATCATTGTATACTCTCATTTTTCGCCGCATACAGCTTATTTTCATTACTCGAATTGTATCCTAGGTATCATCCTACTTGTACTTTCTATTATTATATGAAGCATTTCTACATACGAATTTTTCTTCATAAGCTACATCCAAAGTAGATGTATGGAAAAGCGGGAGCACACAGACACAATATTCATGCCTTCTGTATGTGTGCCGAATAGATCTCAACAAAATCTATCCATCGATACAAAAGTCAGCTCAAAAAAAGTTAATTGAGGTCTAATATTAACAAAAATAAAAAAAAAAGAGTAAAGCACAGTTTCATCTTAACACAATACTTTCATGAAACATTTGAAACTGATCCAACTAGAAATAATAGAAAAGATTTATCTACTAAACATCATGAAAAAACATCGAATGATATTTATAAGATAATTTTCTTAAGTGCAAGGAAATACAAACTATTTTTTATTGCTTTAATTAAATATTATCATCTTTTCTTTTTTTTTTAAGAAAATCTTTATATAATAAACATTGACTCTTGAAATACTCCTTTAATACTATGACTAATTCATCATACATTAATAATAGAGCAAGAAAAATCGCAACCAATGATACGTTTACTGACAGTCACTTTTCTTATTCTGTTATATTACTTGTTCTTCACCTAAAATAGACTGTTTTCATATGTATATAGGGGACGAACGATAAAAGTACAAAAGCAACACTATAAAAACTACTCAGTGACTCATTATAAACCATTGAAAGTCAATATGACCTGAAAATGATCCAAGTATTTCTAGAAAAAAATTTCGAATCAACTCTGATTGACACAAAAAATGACATAGATATGAACTTTCTCTTGTATAAAAAATAGACACCTATAATAAAATCATAGCAGCAATCATTTGATGATTTAGTGGATGAATAGTTTTTTTTTTTGTGAGCTCTTTTATAAAATAATTAATTTATTCTTAAAGATTTGATTGACGTCTCATAAAGTCAGTCAATAATAACTTATCAGTAGTTCTATATTATAAAAATTACATTTTACAAAAAAAAAAAAATTCCATATGTTCATATACTAAATAATAATTGCCATTGTGGTGATGGAGGATTTTGTTCTTCTTTTGATTCCATACTATAATAATGAATTGGTGATAGTTTTTGTTGTTGATTTTCTTCAACTTCTAAGAGTGTTGTTGATGCTGTTCGAGCAATAAATTCATATAATGAATTTGATTGTTGATATTTTTCTTCAAGATCTTGTTTATATTTATGAAGATTTTCAATTTGTATTAATAAATCATTTTGTCTAGTTTCTAATTCTTTAACTTGACTTTTTAAATTATTTTCAATATTATCTCTTAATCTTTTTAAATTTCTTGCTGATATACGATTTTTCATACGTCGTATTTCACGTTTTCTAGCTTCTTCACCTTCCATTATTGCATCTTTTGAACGACGTCCAGTAGCTAATGTTGGAGCAGCACTACGACGTTTTTTTATACATATAGGACCATAAATTACCGGTGAAGTACGTGACACTCTACAAGAGTTTTTAAATTTTGATGAATCAATACTCATAACATCAACTATAACTGGCATTGTTTCATTTCTATATTCATAATTTGATGTTGATAAATTTTGATTATGAATATTATTTATATCATTTATTGTCGATCCTGAAGCAGATAAAATTGATGAACCTACAGTGCCCATTAATACCTATCGATAAATGATCCAGTAAACAGAAAAAAATGTAAAATAGCGACAATTTCACCAGTAGTCTAATAACTAGTATGTGTAATGATCGAAAAAAAAGAAGAAGAAGAAAAAAAAAAAGAAATAAGAAAGAAAATACTCTAAACAAACATATTCATTCAACTGTGACTTGCTCATATCTCTATGTTACGTATATTTATGTTTATCATAAAAAAAGAAAACATAAGATAAATATAAATGACAATCTTGTTTTTTCAACCTGTTGATTGAAAGAGGTGTATTATGATGCTTTTGCATTGTTTTATATTTCATTTGAATTAATGATAGATAAAAAAAAGAAAAACTTCTTTTTTATATTTCATAACTAAACATCATTGGATTAGAATGAATATTTATATCCGTTCAATCAACAAAAATACAACTGATCATTTTGAAATCAACACACATGTTGATATCCACCTGTTTCATTAAGTTAAGTCATATTGACTTTCGTTCGTCTCTTATCATAATGAAGGAGAAAAAAATGATTATTATCTAAGTTTTATTTTTGTATCTGTCATATTAACATACAATTAAGCGTCCTTATCCATAAAGTATGTGCAACCTAGACTAGTAAGATACCAATAGAAATACTTTTCTTTGTCGTTTTTTTTTCTTTTTACTGTAGTAGTAAATTCGCGCTCTTTGTCAACGCTACTAAATATAAAGCACGAGGTGCAAGTTGTTTTGTATAACATTACACTTGAGTTGATGATTTTTTCAATAGAAAAAAAAATATCGATTTATATATACAAATATCCTGGATTTTAATCAATAATATTTCTTTACGATATGATAGTAATGCAAGGTTGATATTCAAATTTACTTCGATATGAGTAGTAAATCGATTATTTGATTAAAATGTATATTTTTCTGATAAGATTAGCAGATATAAATTTTGTTTTCGTATGTTATTGACATACAATCGAATCATTTTTATTAATAGATATTTTACTAGTCATCTATTGATTGTCTATGATGATGATTGAACGCTACAATCGATGAAAATAACAGATATACGATTAGATTGAATTATGTATTCTAGTAAATGTAATACAATTTTTATTTAGTATCTTTAATGAAGAATTATATGAATGTAAAGTGATGAAAATTAAAGCAGAAGTGTTTTTCTTTTTCTTTATATGTGATTAGATAGATGAACAAGAATATGAGCTTTTTCATATTAAATCTAAAACAAATAATTTTTAAGTTTAAAGGAAATGATAAAAAAAATTGAAGATCTTTTAAAAAAGAAATATCACTTCAAACAAATGAAAACACACACAATTTTTTTTTTATCAAATCGTCATGCTCTATCCAATCGTAAATAAAGAAAAGCAAAAAAACAAAAAAATTTGTCCTTAAATTTTGTATTGTATTCAATTGAAATAACAATAAAAACATAATATATTACGAAATAACTTGTAAATTTGAATACGTTGTATAAAAAAAATTTTTCTTGAATTGTTCAAATTCTATTCTATTACTAATAATATATTCAATTTTTAATAGAATTTTATTTTTATAATTCAAAAATCAAAGCTCTTATTTCTAAAACATATTAAAATATTATCTTTTTACATATGACATGATTTTGAATTATATTTTTATAAAACAAAAAGCTATGAGTATAATTTCTATAAAATTCAAATATGATATTATATTATGAATGAGAAAATTCATCAACATATGATTCAGTTTATGAATTAGTGTCTTCTATTAATGATGAAGGGTATTGATTTGAATATGTTAGAGTGGGTGTAAAAGACAAATATCGTAATTTTATGCATATTTTACAGTAATATTGGCGAAGGTACGTCTATCACGTTTCGTGAATACAAAAGTAACATTATTTAAGTGCATGTCATAGTCTGTGAAGTAAAAAACCATCCTAAAAAGATACTTCATTTGGATTGTACTTCAAGAGAATTTTAATAAAATTGATTATAGTGTTAAATTAAATTTTGAAAGATTTTCTATATAATATTTTGTTCTATTTGATTCCAGTTATTATCTTTTTATTATTATCATTCTTACAGAAATATTTTGTAATAATACAAAAACAAAAAAAGCAGCTTCTTAAAAAAAAGACACATATGATTTTCTTTAGATCTGATTATAATGACCTTGAAAAGATAAATTATATCAATCAAGGAATACAATGTATTTTAAATCGTTTTTTTCACGATCTATTTCATCTTTAATTGGTACATAAAATTTCTTTATGATATCAAATCAATGTTGAAAAAGGAAAAAAAAAAGCAACATCTTGAATAATTTCCAGCATGTTATATAATTTTGTAAATATTAGAGTGAAAATAAAGTATTAAAATATAGAAAACTAAAAAAAAAAGATCACTTTTTCATTTCAACTAATAGAAAAAGAGAAAGATTTTTATCTATAATAGACAAATGGTTAATTTAACATTAGTAAATATTTACTGAAATATTATCTTACTACTTATAATTGTTCGACATATGGTACTGTTTAAAAATCAGAAAATAAAACATATGCAAAAATTTACCTATCTAATAATCTTTTATAAATTAACTAAAGAAAATAAAAGATTAGGGTTTTCATCATATTAACATACTATTTTGTATATTCATTCAAAAATATAATGCATGTCAATAATTAACCGATGAAAATAATATTAAAATTAAACAAGGAATATTCTATCTAAATAGATGATTACATTTTATTTTCAGTATAAAGCGTTTAGATATTGTAGAACAATTGGCCTTAATATAAAAAGTCTTCTAACGATAAATTTTTATGTTTTAATATTTTATACTTAACAGGGATATATTCTATTATAATCTTAGGTATTCATCTATTTTTCCGTTATATAAAAAGAAAAAAAATCTTTATTTAATAAAATATAAATAATTTATTATTATTACAAAAGAATGATAAAAATATTTTTACACACCTATCAATAAAAAATACACGGAAAAGAAAAAGAGGAAAGAGTAGGTAGAAAATATTATTTAACATAACAACGAACAAAAGAAAAGAACGTCATTAATAATAATGTTTACATGAAAAATCGTAAAATAAGAAGATTTTTTTCAGTATTTTCTTTTTGAAAAAATTTAGTATTTATCTGTTTTTTCAAGATTCAGATCTTATCTGATTTTGAATGATATACTTAATCACCAATTATCATAGTTTTTATAAATGCTGTAAAAAAATTCAATTTGATTGAGATCTATTTGTTATTATCTGATTTCTAATGTATTCAAATGTACTTTAAGGTTAAACAAGATTTATGTTTATTATTGAAATTTATTAACGTACAAATATTTTTGTTTTCGAATCATCTACATACCATTCATCATCATGGTTTCATTGGTGTAAGATAAGGATACATATTATTATGTATCTATATTATTTTTACTAGTTGATAAATTGGAAAATGATTTCATATTTTATAAATAAAATTCTTTTGAAAATATAATTAAAATTTAAATCAACTTATCTCGGTTTTTTTTATTATTTTAAAAAATAAATTTTTACTCATAATTATAAAAAAAGAAAACATGCATCTAATCATTCATATTTATATACAAGTATGACGATAGTTAAAAGTCCATTATTCTTCCATTATGTCTTTATAATTATCCTATGTTGAAACACGTTCGAACTAATGAGAGTCTTTGATAAATAACAAAACCAATAGACGTTACTCAAATGAGAAAAAGGAAATAAACTGTGCTTATATGTCTGCTTTTCCACGGTATACAGAAGAAGAAGAAGAAGAACAAAATATATTTAGAAGTAGAATTACAAGAAACATAATCTATTCTAAGTCTTTGAAACCAAATGAACAAGACACTCTATTTTTATTAATAGAAAATCATATCATATATTAATTGCATTAGAACATTCTATTAAATATTTTCTATTTTGTGGACTCATCGAAAATTATATCGATTATTTGTATAATTTTCTTTCCAAAGAAATATTATATTTAAAACTACTAATGATTCATATCAATGATTCTACTTTTTATAAATAAGAAATGGCTCATGTACTTCAAAGTACTTTCTTTCTACAATAATATATTTATATTTATATCAATTGATTTAATGCATAGTATCGTACTTTCGTTTTTTTCGATTATCATTTATAAATTACAACATAATAAAATTAGTCATTTAAATGCAATTATATATCACGATTTTCTCTTTCTTTTACGTATGCTTGTCGTTAAAAAAAGTACGGACTTTGTATTTTACACTGTTATGTACTATATTTTATACATATACACCCACAAAATACAATGAATACGTCATTAACCTGGTTATTTTTAGTTGGTCTTTATTTAAGTTGTTCATTGTTTTTTGGAATTTTCGATGGTGATCTTGATTTCCTATTAAGCTATATTTATATTCGATATAAAACACTTCACGCATTTTTTCTTGTTCGGCATGATCAATCGCAAGTAAATATTGATAGAAGTAAAATAATTCTTTCTTTTTTTTTTTGTAAATAGCTTTATATACTCATATGGCTGATCATAATATTGAATTAACTGAAAAAGATCATAAACAAGCTATTGAAACTGGTAAAAATATTACGCTCATTAATTGGTCAAGTATCTATTTATGTTTACATGAACAAGAATTTGGTAATTTAACTGATACGAACACAAACATTGAAAGAACATGATCATTTAGGAAATTTTTTTCTATCGTTTTTCATGTAGTGAAAATGGTGCTGATGTGTATCATTATTTTGTGAAATAGAAAATGGATATCATGATCCAACATAAAATATAATTATTGTATTATATGAATTTTTCATGCGTTGTTTTCATTGAACTATTTGATGAATTAAATACATTTAATAGTTGTGAAATATGTCAATTAATAAAAATTGATGGAATCATCAACACCATCATCATCAATTAAAAAAAAAGAACGAACTTCTTTTTTGTTTACTTATATGTTAATAAAATTTTTAAGAAAAATAAAAAAAGAATCAAGAAAATTCTTGTCGTTTTTAGAGTAATGAAACATATTAGATTTTTTGATATTAGTTATTCTGTGAGTCATTTAAAGACATTAATTATATGTCACAATAACAGGCAGCTGTATCCCGGACGACGTCAGAATTTACGTGAAAGGTGGGAAAGAATAATATATTCCACAATGAGAAAGACTGAAAAAAAAAACCGGTTCTGTTAGGACGATTCGTCATCAGCGACCAATATTCTTTTTTTTTTCTCTTGTTGATTATTGCACGACAAGATCGGCCACTTTTTTTTTTCAGAGGTGTCATTCTGTTCTTGCGCTTGTAAAAGAGAATGTTCTACTGCATTTCTTAGTCTTTTTTTTTTCTCCCGAAGAAAAAAAGCTTTTTAAATAATATAAAAACGTTGACACAATCTGTGAAATTCTATTGTTTTTAGATTGCCGACTTGTTCAACGGTTGATTTTTTATAGTAAAAACAAAGACCTTAAGAAAATATTATGGGCTTTGGAGAACGTTTTCCTCGATGGAGTTCAGCAATTATAGGTGTTGCTCAACTTCTCTTAACTGCTGCAATTATTGGTTTAGAAGTTGGTTCAGCTTATATAGATCTTGCACATGGAACAATTTGGGTTGGATTTTGGGCTGGTATTATTTTTATTAAGACTGTACTTATGATGTTATTCATTAGTTCGTTTGTTTTATTTCATAAATATTTATTTCTTAATATTTTCTTTTCTAGCTTGTTGCTGTCGTGGTCGATGCTGTGCCACATATGTTTTTCTATGGACTAGTAAATAAAGATATATATATATATATATATATTATTAACTTCTATTCTGTTTGTGTTTTTGTTTTTTTCTAGTAATCAGTGGTGTATTGGCTTGTGTTGTAATATATTTCGATCAAATTTTTATTAATGATCTTTGTAAATGTTATTTGGGTGATCAATTATGTTGTGCCGTTCGTGGTATTGAATCATTTCGAACTAATTATTCAGCTGTTTTTGAAGACTGTGCTCAAGCTATACGAGACGGTACCATTTCATCAAAAGTATGTCCATCTAGACCATATGATAAATTAAAATTAATTCAAGCTCAACTTGGTTGTGCTGTTGGAATGTTAATTACATGTGGAATTTATGTTGTGATATATATATTTGCTTGTTTGGGTATATGCTTTGGTCATGACTAAAAATTTCATAATAAGAAACATTTTTCTATTGATAAGATCATATATAATCATTTATTTATCAATTTTTTTGTGATAATAATTTCCCAAAAATAATGTATAAAGTAAAAAACAAAAACAAAAAATTAATAATTGTCTGATGATAGCTAAAAATCAATACTATGTTTTCAGTATTAAATTATTCTAAAAATAATTAATTATCAACGATTCA